GAATTTTAATTGGGTGCCTGTGATAAGTATGTTGGACTGTAGTGTGGAGCAGACAGCGAATTTTAATTGGGTGCCTGTGATAAGTATGTTGGACTGTAGTGTGGAGCAGACAGCGAATTTTAATTGGGCGCCTGTGATAAGTATGTTGGACTGTAGTGTGGAGCCGATAACGAACTTTTAATTGGGTGCCTGTGATAAGTGTGTTGGATTGTAGTGTGGAGTCGACAGCGAATTCTAATTGGGTGCCTGTGATAAGTATGTTGGACTGTAGCATTGATCAAGACAGCGAATTTTAATTGGGTGCCTGTGATAAGTATGTTGGACTGTATTATGAACCAGACAGCGAATTTTAATTGGGCGCCTGTGATAAGTATGTTGGACTGTAGTGTGGAGCAGACAGCGAATTTTAATTGGGTGCCTGTGATAATACCCAAAAACAAATATTCAAGTCTAATTCGAGGAATATAATTTGGTCAATAATAACGTTTTTTGTTGTTGTTGTTTTTTTATCTTACGTATCTTGTCTGTTGAATAATTTAGAAGAATAAATTAGTGGTAGTATTCTTCAAATATTTATAAAAATATAGATTCTAGGTGATGAGCAACTGAAACAGGATACATATAATTTGGTTATTGCTTGAGAGGTACACATTCATTTTCACGTTCTAATTTCAGTATTTTGTTTTTGTTATACAAAAGAGTTTAGGTGAGTTAAATAACACAGTTTTCTCTGAAAATTCTTATTAAAAATAATAATTGCTCCCGTTACCGTTGCGTACAACTTTGCAACGTTGTAAGAAACAAACCTGATATGTTTGTTGATTGATCAAGTGACGAAATAGATCAGTAACATCGTCGTGAGTACCGAGATCATTAGAAAACACAATAGACCAGTTGTGCTGATTCTACATGAATTCTTGAAACAAGTGAGAAGCGCCTCCTAGAAGATTAAACGAGAGAAGAAAAAAAAACTTAGTTCGGCATGCAAAAAAAAAAAAAAAAGACACTATAAACATTTTTACAGGTTGTTGTAAGTCTACTAAAGTGGCTAAACATAATAGGTTATTAATATTTCAGGTGGACATATTGTTTAGTACTCTCCCGGAAAAGTAAAAACCGCAACCAAACGATTAATTGACAATTCTAATGGTACCAAACCGATTTTGGGGTTTTAAAAGTGGATCGGTATCAAATCCAGCGACACGAGAACTAAAAGCTGAGGGAGCTGCCTATCGAACAGAGTTGCGGGTTTGATACCTGCCGAACATAGTTGCGGGTTTGATCCTCATCTAGTCAAATTTGTATTTAATTATAATATATCTAACAAAGCAACTTGCTGGGATTATACAGTTCCGCCCCCCAGTGGCACAGCGGTATGTCTGCGGACTTACAACGCTAGAATCCGGGTTTCGATACCCGTGGAGGGCAGAGCACAGATAGCCCATTGTGTAGCTTTGTGCTTAATTACAAACAAAAGTACCCGTTGTTTATAGCTTGGCAGGCATAGATCAGTTTTTCTGCTGATCTTAATAACCAACTAAGCGAAATTGAAATTTTACGCGTCCAGTTGGTTAAATGAAAAGCTTTTAAGTGAGTTAGGGTTTCGAATCCTGTCCGGCCTCTGTTTTTAATCCATTAAGATAATATGAAGCATCATGTGGTGGTGTGTCCTCTTCCAAGAAGTTTCGTGCTTAAAAACAATTATCACTTCTAGCCATGATGGCAATAAACGAATTGTAAACTTTAAAAACCGATTGTCACAGCTCGAGAGTCTTGACAAACCCGTCCTCACAAACCAGTAAGCGATCAGTGAAACTCGAACCAGGTAGCTTTGCTGGCTAAAACATTCGCCGTAAGAATGCATCAAGATTACCTCTCTGCCAGTCCTTTACGAAATTCACTTGTTTAACTCCAAGAATAAACATGGCTGATCCAGAAGGTGAAGGACACCATAACCCTCGAGCAAAATTCCAAATCCGTCCTTGTTGACGGTTACTACAAACTAAGCTGTGCTGGCTGGTACAATAGAACACATAGGTTTCTGAATCACAGTCAATACAGCGTACAGAATCAGCTGAGTTTCTAAACCTGAAGTATGGTTGCTATCAGTCCTTTTCTTCGGAGGAAACTATCCTAATTTCTGTATTCATCCTCTAATTCAATGGCGGCTATAAGTCCTTTAAGTTAAACAATTTGATTTTTCCCGTCCCACCAAACATGCTAATGTATTTCTCCACAAAGATGGCCACCAAACATGCTAATGTATTTCTTCACAAAGATGGCCACCAAACATGCTAATGTATTTCTTCACAAAGATGGCCACCAAACATGCTAATGTATTTCTCCACAAAGATGACCACCAAACATGCTAATGTATTTCTCCACAAGATGGCCACCAAACATGCTAATGTATTTCTCCACAAAGATGGCCACCAAACATGCTAATGTATTTCTCCACAAGATGGCCACCAAACATGCTAATGTATTTCTCCACAAGATGGCCACCAAACATGCTAATGTATTTCTTCACAAAGATGGCCACCAAACATGCTAATGTATTTCTTCACAAAGATGGCCACCAAACATGCTAATATATTTCTCCACAAAGATGGAGTACAGTTTTGTATCGATTCCACGATTCTTAGAAACTCCATATTGTTTTAACAACAAAGATCTAATTTGTTTATTTGTAATTAAGCACAAAGCTACACAATGGGCTATCTGTGCTCTGCCCACCACGGGTATCGAAACCCGGATTCTAGCGTTGTAAGTCCGCAGACATACCGCTGTGCCACTGGGGGGGGGGCAGATCTAATTTAAGCCATACGCTACACTAGCACTCCATCATCCCGTTGGGTGGATTTTTTTCTAGATGTTTCCACGATGTATTTCCCCCATATAGGGCGAACACCTCCCGGACTAATTATTGTCATTTGAATGCTACCCTTTTCACTTGAGATACGAGTGTTCTATTTTTAATTTTGAAAAGGTGGCAACCGTACCTAAGATACTCCCCCCCCCCCAAGAAAAAAATTACATTGAGTGTATCTTGTCACGTGTTAAGGTGTTAAAAGGTATGAGAAGGTAAACTACTTTTACACCACCAGTATGATTTTAAATCTTGCAATATGCAAGTTTTATCAACTGAAATATTAACAGAAAAAAGCAATATCAAAAAAATACGCAAACTATAGAAATTATCATCCTCATATAAGCTCATCTCTCAGATTCAAGAGTATAGTTATCAATACACAGGTGGTACCGAACTTCGGGGACAGTACCCGTTGGTAGAAGAGTGCCCCCGAATAACAAGTTCCAATTTAAAACTAAATTCTCACCACTATCCCTTAAAGGAGTATTAACTTTTCTCCAAGTATCAGTTTCACAACACAATGTTTGTTTGTTTGTTTGTAGTTATGCACAAAGCTACACAATGGGCTATCTGCGTTCTGCCCACCACGGGTATCGAAACCCAGTTTCTAGCGTTGTAAGTCCGCAGGCATACCGCTGTGCCACTGGGGGGGGGGGGCACAACACAATGAACTGAATCTCAAAACGTCTAAGGTACGTTTCTGAAATATCTCACTAGAGGGAACTATTAAATTTATAATTTACTCCTCCCCTCGATAACGTGTCCCAAACTCTGATTGAACATATATACTCCCTCTTTGATAATAAGTTAATTACTGTAAAAAAAAATAAAAATACTTGAAAAAAAAAAAGAACCTGTATATGGAAGCTACCTATACAGGAAATGTAGTTTAACCTTCATGATTGTCTGGAGTTCTTGAAGTGCACATTTTACGCTATAGTATTTCAGGAAAATTCTATGTCGAACAAAGTTCCATCAGCCGAGCTCATTCCTCACGTTTCAACAGATCAGTTATAAACATTCAACACGTACCGGTTCACGTGTATCAATCTAATGTACTTTGCACGAGCCACAGAAGTTGCTATAAAACTGATTACATCGGTTTTGTAATTTATCAGCTGTGGTTTCAAGCACGTCTTCTCGTGATCCCTCTCAAATTACACATTTACTTGTTCATGTGTTTCTTTCTTGTATACTGCTTTCAAAATATTGTATTTTTAGACCAGTGATTCCCAAACTTTTTTCACTAACGACGTCCCCTACCGCCACATAAAATATTTCTTTTTGATGTTTTTAATTATTCTTCGTTTGGTGAAATTCTCGCGACACACAGTTTGGAAATCACTGTCTTAGACGGTTACTGCAGGGCGAACATCAAACTGTCCAGTTTTTATACTGACAATATGAGATTAGAATAAACAGATAAAGTAAGAAAATGGTCAGAGGAGAAATAAACGTCCTTGAGCTAAAAACTGGACACCCTGTACAGACATAAACTCCTTCCTTTAATTAAGCTATACAGACAAATGAACTGAAACACTACACCGGAAGGAATCCAACTCAAGAAAAAAAAACAGCTATAAATTATGCCACGCCCTGCCACGTGTTACTCGATGAAACCACGCATGCTCATTTCTATTGGTATTTACTATTTTCAACCTGGGTGGTACTTTATGTGACACACGAACTAAATAGCCTGGTCAGAAACCCCGAAGTTCGGGAATGGTTATCCCTAACTTAGAACTGTCGATCAGAGTTTAACTGTCATAGTTATATCACCCCATACAGCTATCGCAGTTTAAACCTAGGACCTTGTGATCCGCAGCCCTAGTTATTGACCGCCAGGCCTGGATAGTCTGATCCTTTCTATTGTCATGACGTTTTTAGATGCTATACAAAAAACAACAACAAAAAACAATATACATCGAAAAATACAAGGTAGGCACGGATATCACTCCCCGGGAGAGGCATTATGGTTTGATGATAATCGGTCCAGCGATTCGCCAGTCATAAGTGGACACACACATACAGACAGACTTTTGTTAAATAATGGTTTATAGATTACAACCACTGATAAATTCTCTATTAATCTACGCCCCCTCCCACACACACTCACTCACCACCATCATGACAATAAATAGTCCCGGTTGTGTCCTCCCGACGACGTGGCATGCGTGACGCTTAAATGTTGATATCCATTTAACTTTCAGTTGCACGTGTTTTCATTTTTCATCTGACGGGAAAATAAAATATTCTTTCTTTGTTATTTGTCATGAAGTTACGAACAAAACCTATTTACAAACATTATTCAGTTCTGACAGCGAAACACAAAGTTTGTTCATTCGAGCAGGAGAAAAAAAAAATACTGAAACTACTACAAGTCTTACAAAAAAGTAAATTATTTTTCTGAGAATTGTAAACACAGACCCCTTAAAATATTACACGTAGGAAGTAATCCAAGGCGAGGGAATGCACATATAGGATCGAGATTAATCTGGCACTAGTAACGAGAGTAGTTAGCCAGCATTTTATAAACGATATTTTTGTAGCTTTAGTTTCAGTCACGTAACAGGATTATCACGTCATTTTTTTTTATCTTAGCTGGATAACACACGATGTTAAGTTGTTTTTTTTTCTACATAGTTGTCCTATTTGTGAACGAATTTCGTTGTAATATTTAATGGCTTTTAAATTATTTCGTTTTTCTTCATGTATTTTGCTTCTCATTTACACTGATATTATAATAAACAAAAAAACGTACACGCATGCGCAGTTGTACGTAATCAGTTTGCCATCGAATTTAATGTTGTGTTTTTAATTTTTCGATTATACTAAATATAAAATGTTATTGTTAATGGACATTTCAACGAATTTCGTACAAAGACCGACAGAATGGTGTTCTGATTTAAGTAATGTATGAGTATTTACTTAATTTGTGTTCGGCCAGCTTCAGTTCTTTCTGGTCATTTTGTGTCTTTCTCACAGATGGAAACACACAGTTGTTTGACCGTACTTTAACCTGCAAGTGTTGCCCATTTTGTTCATCTGGATGAAATTTATAAAGAAAA